CCCGCCCCTGCAGGTTAGGTTATGCACCATTACTCCCCGTTACTTCCCGTTACTCCCCATTACTTCCCATTATTCCCCATTATTCATCGACTTCCTCAGCGAACTTGAGATCCTCGTTGCCCGTTCAGAAACTGAGGCTCCCGCAATTATCACTTTGACTCGAATCAGCAGTATCAATCTCCGTATCTATATGTAGTTTATTTACTTATATTTACTTATAATGGGGGAAGATACTCGCCAGGGAATTTCGAATCTTTAATCTTGAATCTTTAATCTTGAATCTTGATCTTGGCTCCTTCGGCTGGGCTGACCTATTCCTAATCTCTCTAACGGTATGGATAACGGACATCCCACAAAGCGATCGCCTCGACCTCTCCGATAATCTTAGATCTTATCAGGATATCATCTTCAGGGTAGTTCTCAGAAATTCGAAGATTCTCCGAGAGAGAGAAAGAGCGTAATGCCGGCCATTCCGTCCGGACGGATATCCTTCCGAAGTCATCGAGGAGTTGGTTCGGTCGGCCTCGTTGGAATTCATCCCTCCCCCCGACCCCCCCGATCCCCCCGATAGATGTTGCGGATAATTGGGGTGCCTTCGAGACGCGACCCGTCGCCCAGCGCCGAGTTTCCCTGAAACATCAGCATGCAGGCGGATGTCGTAGGAGTCTCGTTAACCTACGCGAGCTCCTTTGCTCTTTGCCAGCCACTCGAATTCGAGGTAGACACGCATCACGCATCACGCATCACGCATCACGAGGCTGAGGTGGTAGGACTGCGTAATGTCCTCCTCGTCATAACTTCCGACTTTGTGACCTCATAGAAATTAGGCTGCCCTCGTGACAAATTGCGAATCCGCAGTCACATTAATTCAAGTGCTGCCGCAGAGGGTTTCCTTGATCATTCGCTGCTCCTCGTTCTGCCCCTGGTTGCTTGTATCTCTCTCTTTCTCTCTCTCTCTCTCTCTCTCTCTCTCTCATTGTCAAACGCCATCATCTCCCAGCGATGCGCGGTAATCAGGCGACTGTGAGTTCGTTATTTTCTCAACGAGATGATTTCCGGTGGTTTTCGCATCTCGAAGACCGAAAGCTGCTTCAAACTCATTTTATTATTATTTATTAGCGTTAGACTTCCGCTCTGTTATAATTTATCACGTTGACTCTCAAGAAGAAGGAATCTTATGTACCCGGTAATTGATTCTCGCAGGCAGCATACCGAGTGCGCAAAGTAGAGAAAGAAACTTCTACTTCGAATGACGCCACTTCCGGCTAGCATGACACCCTATACTCGATTCTTTATGGTTTCCAGACGGCGACTGCTGAGTTAGAAAGTGGAGGAATCGAAGCGAATCAAAGGGCACCCAAACTACAATAAAATCGGCTGTTTCGGTGAGCCCCTAATTGGCTTTTAGCGAAATTACCTTAATCAGGTGTTAATGCGCGATGGCGTTGT